TCAGTTTTGATATTGTGGCGGGCGCCACAAATAAATCAATGTATGAGAAACACTATAGTCTCATAATTGAAGTGTAAATTCTGCAGATTACATCATTGTCCAGTATTGTACTGTCAGCAATTTATAAAAATGTTTTCATAATTGTAACATACATATTTACATACATAATAATTCAGGTGCATGTGTAAAAACTTGACATTACAGCAGCACTTCTTCATCGTCGTCGTCTTGTCTGATGCACTCAACCAAGCGTTCTAACCACGACCTCGCCCCTCCCCACCCCCCAACCATTCACACACTGACTAAAATTCAAAAAGTGAAAAAAGCTAAAAAGCATAATAGGACCCCTTTAAAAAAAAAAGTCATACCCCTTTCACACTTTTGAACAGTAGTGTACATCTATTTTAATGAAAAATAAAAAAGGAAAATGGTACCATCTAATTAAGAATAGACAATTTCACTCAACATTTGTGTTTGTGTTGTGCTTGCATGCTTTTGTTTCTGAGTTTTTAGTTGAACTGCATGCTAAACTTTACTGGAATCAACTGCATCAGAACAGAGGTGGGGTTTTCAGACACAGTTTTTCAGACACAGCATTGCCAATCTCTGGACCCCATCACCATGGTTTTGAGCCTTCATTAAAATCCTTTGAAGTCCAGAACCAGATTTAACCCTGTTTCCACAGATCTATATAACCAAACAACATGAGGACTAGAACACGGTTCAGCTGTCAGTGAAATATGTGCTGGAACTAACCAGGATTCAGCACATCACTGGGCACATGGGCCCCCTTTGAAATGCCTTTTCTCTCTTACAGCCTCTCGTGACTGCACGCCTCAAAATCACACACACTTTCAGCTGAGATTGTTTCAATCCAGAACAATAGCTGAAGTCCCCAGTTCCACCTCACTGTGCCCAAAATACTCTGGTGTGGTTAATGCTCCATGCCTCATTGGCTCTTATAACTGCACCACGCTACAGAGTGTTTCGATTTCATGGAACATTGTAGCCTCCCTCACTTTCTTTTTCCTCTCCCTCCCTCTCTCATAATGAGAGAGAGATTTGAATCTCCATATTGAAAGTTGTTTTGAAAGTGTTAAGGGTCAAGTTTGTTCTTGGTCCCATGAGACCATCAAAGCCTCTCATAAACACCAAGAAACATTCACGCCATCAAAATCTCTGTGCTGTGCAGTTGCACTGTGTCTATGATATTTTGGGACGGAAAACACAAGGAATTTAACTATTCTACTTCCATTTCCACTAAATGATTTAATTGCCCTCTGTTTTATATTAATTAGTCTTTTAATAGTACAGCACTTTGGTATATGCTGTGGTTTTTAAAGTACTTATAAATAAATTTGAATTTAATTAACAATTCATTTAGTACTTCTAAAGAACAATATACTAACCAAAACAATACTATCTTTGGTAACATATTTTGATGTTATTTAATACTTTTATTTCTACTAATTTTATTACTATGTATATAAGTGTTATTTTAGTTATATGTATCATTAGACCAAAGAAAGAGTCATTTGTTTTCACATTGTAGTTGTCAAATCTGTATTCTTGTGATTCTTTATGTACTATTGTGCATCAACTTGTCTTTCTCTCTCATTTAATTTAATTGATATATATTGCAATTCATATTGTAATCTCATCTTATCTAAAATTGTAGATTTAGTAGACATGCAGGAAGACTATTTTAATGCAGTATGTTATCTGCATCAGTGGAATGTTGCAGATGTTAAAGGACCGTTATCGGAAACAAATGCTGTGAAAGTCATTTGATTCCAGTCTATTTTTAAAAATGGAACCAGTTCTGAATAAGAAACCGTTCTTAATTCCCAATCCTAGTGATATATGTGGAAATAGGTGTGTGTGTGTGTGTGTGTGTGTAACTATGTTCCTTCCCTCCCCTCTTACTTGATCTGTCCATTGTTTTCCCAGGCTCTTAAAATTCTTGAGCTCTTCAAGCCAGCCCCCTCCCCTTCTCTCTCCACTCTCTTCCATCATTTTTTCATTTCTCTTTTCCTTTATTTTCTTCTTTTTTTCTTACATCAAGGTCTTTGCTAAGGAATGCTTATATACAAAGTACATTTAATGACTGTTAACAATTATGGATGTAATTGATAGTTTAGATTGTATATACCTCTTATATACTTTGGAAAGAGTGTATAGACTCTTTTTTTTTTATTATTAAATTAAACAGTTTCAGAAAATGTACAGTATATGAAGAGTTTGGTTCCAAAACGCTATAAATCCATTTTGATTAATTTGAGTAAAAATGTGTTTTCTTTACTAAGGAAATTGGCAAGATGAAAACCACTATTTTCTGTTTTAAACTTTCACATAGCATCTTTAGATTATAATAACATAAAAAATTGAAACCCAGATTTTGATTTTCAAAGATTTATTATAAAAACTGATTATTTTTTTCCCCAAAATGCAATAAATCCATTGAATCAACATAAAAGTTATTTTTCATATTGAAACTGTTGAAAATACACAACAAAGTAAGTTGATCCACATATGACAGCCTCTGAACTTGGTCAATACTAATCTTATTAATAGCTTACGTTTCTTCCCCACCGCAGAAACTACCACAGGTTCATCAATGCCGGCAAAATGATAAATTGTTTAGGGCTGTACGATAAATCGTATGTGATTATCATGCGCATCTCGTCAGTAAAGCCAGTTCTGTGATTAGTAGTTAATCTCCATCACGTGCTTTCAGATGGAGCGGCATTTAATTCACAGACCCATAGATCACTGACAAGCTACACAACATCGCGTTCATAATCGAAGGCGATTCATCTGCGATTATGAACGCGATATTGCGTAGCTTGTCAGTTACTGTTTACAATGCGTGGAATGGTGCGCTGTGATTGGTTGAGCGGATGTATCGCATTCTGCAGAGAAGGGAGACTGGCGTTTATCGCACTTTGGAAAGATAGGGAGAAAACATGACAGAATAACACGGTGGATATCGCATTTTGCGTAAAAGTAAAAATGTACTTTTCAATACCGACCAGATACAATGCTGATTTTGGCGGGAACTCAATTTTTTTTAAAATGGCGTTTATCGTGTTTTGGAACCAAACTCTTCATATATTCATACCACTTTCTCCACCACTCTCTATTTCTATTGTGTTTTCTTTGTGTCTGTGCAGCTGATGGCTCCAGGAGTCCAATGTGTGTACCGCAGACAACCGTGTGTGTGTGTGTGCGTGATGTGTATTGAGAACCAGAACCAGGTTTCTTGAGTGAATGAGGGGAAAAGTTTTTAACGAAAGAAAAGAAAAGAGTTTAAGAGTTTTGAGGGGTTACTACAGCACACACACAAACACATCACTCTGAACTCTCCATAAACCCCGCCCACACAGGAAGTGTGTGTCCCAGAGGGAGGTGAGGCTTGGAAGGGGGCTGACTCCTCCCACTCTTGCTTGCTCTCTCTCTCCATCGCTCTTGATCCAAACAGTCTCTCTCTTTCTACACATACAGAGAAGGACTCATTGTTCCCCTGTGCTTAAGGAGGATTTTACTCACTCACACTCACCATAAGCACAAAAATGCACAGAAAAGTAAAATATCTTGGCTTGGACTTTTCTTCTGGATTTTCTTTTAGAGCCTTTTCCTGAAGTTTTCTGATCTGGAAGGAGTTTACAGTCGTTGGAGCACCATCCATGGAATGTTTGATTGAAGTTTTGGGAATGTTGTAAAAACGTTCTCTCATCTCTGCAGGTGTTCCAATGGAGACAGTTGGAGAATCTGTACTTCAGGGAGAAGAAGTTCTCAGTGGAAGTCCATGATCCGAGAAGGTAAATCTATATTACAGCCTACACGTGTTCACTCAAACTCACAGGTCATGAACTGTATAGGCTTACAAACAATCTGTCAAATACATTGACAGGATATGTTGTGGGCACCACTTTCACTACATCTCAGCAGCAGTTTGAAAGACAAGTTTTTTTTAGATCTCATGAAACTTTTGAAAGATCTCAGCTGTGTATGTTTTTGTCCTTTGATTCTTTTGGATCAAAGTGTGGAAATAATTTTAATTACTTAGAAGTAAAGTGGCATGACGTACTGTGTTTTACATTGGATTATTTACTAGCAACAAGAGTAGAATATGAATCAGTTTTGGTGTAATTTGACTAGAGGAACATCTTTATACAGCATCTACACATCAGTTATACAAGCTTAGTTTTGTTTAATCTTGAAAATATATCAGGCTTTGACAGGAAAACCCATTTTAGTGTCCTGTTCCTGAAAAGAAAAATTGTTAATTTTCATTGGTAAATGTTCGTAGTTGCATCTGGTTGGTTTCCGTCCACAAGCTAAGCTATCTGTTATTGGATTGAAATCTCTGACTTCCTGTGTCCTGTGGAGAAGAGGGCAGAAGTACAGCTGCAACAAATGAACAAAAACATAGCCTCCTCGTATTGTCTGTCTATCTGTAGAGATTGAGATGTGGTTTGAATTAATCTCGGTTCTCTGCTTCTCTCTTTCATTCTGTCAAAACTTTGATTGTTTCGGATCTTCAGTTTGTTCTGACGTTCTCTCTGTCAATCTTAGGATGTGTTTAAGGTTTAATCAGGCCCTCATGACATCATCAGTATGTGCCGAGGGCTGGTTAGTCTCTTTAGGAGAGCAGACGCTGCCAAAAGCAGCAGCACACGCTGCCTCAGATGCTGACAGATAAACCGCCTCATTCACGCTGTTCAAACAACCACCACGACAGCCCAGAAACGAGGAGAACACGGAGGGAGTTCACAGAAATGCTGGAGGCTGAGGAAATACGACATGAAAGAGAGCAAAACAGTTTAGGAAGATGAAACAATTAGTTTATTTTGCAGCATGAGGGACTATGATGTATTTTTCTTCTTGTTAAGTTCACTGTCATTCAGTTAAAGTCAATGCAACACACGCACATACGCTAATATAGTTTTGATAAGAGTCAGAACACGAGGGTCTGCTGTTTATCTTTGTTCTAGTGGAGAGGCCTGGAGGATTTTATAAAGCCCGTCACAGGACACACACGTGCGCTGGGTTTGACCACAGTGTAAATGGTGTGTGTGTCTTTGTGGGCTGCGCTATGTGTGGTATGTTAAGCCAATACATTGCAGAGCTGTCGGGAGTATTCTGTGCTAACACCAGTTCACATTTCATTTCTCCCACATAAATATATATCATACTGGTGGCTAATAATTTATCAGTCAATAGAATTTAAATGCATTTTAGTATTTATTTGTGTGTATATAAAATTTGGATGAAGACTGGAGTAATGATGCTGAAAATTCAGCTTTGTCATCAAAAGAATAAATTACATTTTAAAATATATTAAAAAAGAAAACAGTCACTTTATATTATAATAACAATATGCCACAATATTACTGTTTTTACTGTATTTTTGGTAAAATAAATGCAGCCTAGGTGAGCATAAGAGACTTCTTTCAAAAACATGAAAAACCTTACTGATCCCAAACTTTTGGATGGTAGTGATTGGAAGATATTTGCAAATTTACAGTGAAGCAAAAATGTTATCTAGTTAGCTAGCATGAGATGTTGAATTTGCAAAACAAATCAGTTAAAATCTTAAAAGCATCAGTAAGCTTTACCTTAGCATTAGCTTAACTAGCCAAGCATCATAACATGGTCACAGGTCTGTTTATTGGCTGTTTTTATGTGTCTTTGGATGTGGTTCCTCCAATGTAGAGGAGGTAACCTTTTTTGACTGTGTATTTATTGAAATGACAAACACAGAGATGGTGTGCGTCTGTTAAAATATTAGTAATAAACATTTTGACATTTGTTTCTACACTGATAATGTCATAAAATTCAGTGAATATAAAGTCGGTTTGTGTTCGCTTCAACTGTAGGGCGTCGGTAACGCGGAGGACGTTTGGTCACAGTGGCATCGCCGTGCACACCTGGTACGCCTGTCCCACCCTCATCAAATCCATCTGGGCCATGGCCATCAGTCAACACCAGTTCTACCTGGACCGCAAACAGAGCAAGGTGAGTGTGCGTTTGTTTTCGGATCTGTCTTCAAATGTGTTTCTTGTATCAATGTATGTGTGTGTGTGTGTGTGTATGTGTGTACACCTATAACCTCGCTCTTACTACATCAACTTTCCTGTGTGTTTCTGTGGTCTACCTCTAACTGTCTCACCGTCTAGACAACCATCTCTCTTCAATTCTCAGGGCCACATACACTTACACACACACAAATAACTATCTGTCTCTGATTTTGCTCAAGGATTCTGTTACACTTGTTCGTCTCTTGGAAAATTCTGACACACTCGACACAGCTGGCAAGCACATTCACTCTCTCTCTGTCTTTTAGAGTAAGATCCACGCAGCACGCAGTCTGAATGAGATAGCCATAGACCTGACAGAAACAGGAACCCTCAAGACCTCCAAACTGGCCAACATGGGCAGCAAAGGCAAAATCATCAGTGGCAGCAGTGGAAGCCTGCTGTCCTCAGGTCAGAACACGCACACACAATTACACAAAACAGGTGCGATTACAAGATCACTTTCTTCCTGTTTACAGCTATCATCCGGAAATTATGTCCTGACACGATTATAAAGTGTTCGTAGTTTGAAATTTTTGGAGCTACTTGGGGGACATTAGGGGAAAATTATGAGATGTGAGGAAAAATGTGCGTTCTCTTGCAAAAGCATTGCGTTTCCTGACAAACTTTGCATTCGCTCTCAAATATTTGTGCAACAATATTGTGTTGCCCCGAGAAACTTTGCATTCAGTCACAGTCCCCCGAGAAATTTTGTGCAAAACATTTGCATTCTCTTGCAACAGTATTGTATTCCCCGAGAAATTGGTCGTTCACTCGCAAAACATTGTGTTCTCTCACAAAACTATTGTTCCCCAGAGAAACTTTGCATTCTCTTGCAAATGTTTTCTAACATGTTTTTTTTTTTGGGGGGGGGCAAAGCTATTGCGTTTCCCTAGCAAACTTTGTTTTTGCTCACAGAACTTTTGTGAAGAGGACGCAAAAACATTGAAATATATTTTTTCCTCCCGTGTCCCTTTAAGGGCTCTGTAGAAATTTAGCATTGCATCTGCAACTATAGTGTTAATGGTGAGTCGGCAATGATGTGGGGCCGGTTGTAAAGGAACTTAAAACAAGGCCGACAAGCTTCGGTCTTGTAGTGTGCACTTGGCTTCAAACACTCTGTCCTGTTATGTGTGTGAATCCAGTGTTTGTGATCTCATGGTGATGATGAGTTTTGGGGTGTGGACATGTGTGTAAATTTTCTACGAGGTGAGAGTGAGAATAGCTTGTCTTGATGCTGGTTTTGGACTCCTGCCGTGGTGTCAGGTATCATGAATTAAATGTGCTCGTAGCAGGACTCCTCTGGTGTCAGTCATATGATCTCCCTTTCATCTGAGCCATGTGTCTTCAGCCTCTTAATCACTGACCACACATGAGAGATTAGATCATAGTGGAGGCTTGGACAGTCACTGCATTTTGGAGTTGTTTGCTTTGGTTATACAGCATGAAAATGAACCAGCATTTGCAAACCATTTTACTTCTGTGATCTGAAGCATTTCCGAATGAATTTGGTTATTCATAGAGAGAAACTGTAGAGTAAGACTGTAAAGTTGAGGCTCAGTTATGTCATCTGACAAGGAATGTTGCTTCAGAAGCAAAGCAAGGAAGTAATTTAGAAGGTTTTTTTTTTCTTCTTTTTTTGAAAAGCATGCATGAATTGTGCACAATAAGCCCAGACAAGGCATTAAGTAAACAAACAAAATCAGTTTTGCTTTTACATGGACTTTAAACTTGCTTTTCAGTCTTGTCGGCGCCGATAGCCTAGTGCAGGGGTGCCCAACCCTGCTCCTGGCGATCGACTGTCCTGCAAAGTTTAGCTCCAACTCTAATCAAAGACACCTGCCTTTAATTTTTAAGTGATCCTGAAGACCCTAATTAGTTGCTTAAGGTGTGTTTGATTAGGGTTGGAGCTGAACTTTGCAGGACAGTCGATCGCCAGGAGCAGGGTTGGGCACCCCTGGCCTAGTGGTTATTGCGTTGACATATAGCACAATTGTGCTCACGGCGACCCGAGTTCGATTTCCGTCTCTAGGTCCTTTGCCGATCCCGCCCCACTCTCTCCACCCAATACTTTCCTGTCAGCTCTCAACTGTCCTATCTAATAAAAAAGGCATAAAAGCCCCACAAAAATATTTAAAGGTGCCATAAAATGCATTGATACAATATTTTAAATTGTTCTCTGATATCTACATAGAAGGTATGTGGCTTTGGAAAGGGCAAAAAATCTCGAGAAACGGTTTTACATGTCCATTTACAACCCTTAGGATTTGTCCCTAGAATGAAATGGTCTGTTTTTACCTTATTTGGAAGGGTCATGAATAATAATATTGAGCTCTGCTTTGATTGGCTGTTTCACAGTGCGGCTCA